GTTTTTAAAGGTCCCCTGAAATGCTTAGAAACACGCAGCGTTACTCTGTGTGTTGACGTCATTTTAACTGAAACAGGAAGACAGGGCGGGACATATCAAGCAGCCCCGCCCCTTTTTAAAATAGCCAATAGCGTTCGTTTATATCACAGCTTGGGCTAGAGCCGTTCAGAGCCGTTGAGCTCCGTAAAGCCGCATTTGACAGGGTATGCCAGCCACAATCTCGTCCATATTTCTTTAAAATATAGCATTCTGTGTAGAATTCAAATAGCTCCGATACATTTTGTGGTCTGCGCCGACCTCGCGCATGTGATCCGCTCCGTGCTATCGTGTCTCTGGACCGGAGCAGAGTGTGTGTGCGGTGCGGTGGTTAGCGTGACAGCGCGAAACCAGACTTCTTTTTTTCTTCAATGGAAAGCATATTTACACTGTTTGACTCGTTCCCTGTCCCCTATATAGTGCACTACGTGCCATTCACTGTACAGAAAATACCTATTCTGTGGACAAGTGACCGATTTCAGCCGCGGCTTCAGCGTCTATTTTATAGTGTAGGGGGCGGGCGCTTCGGATTCTAGAGAGCATTTGATTGGACAGAAAGTTTGATGAGAAGCTGAAGTACGATGTGACGTCAAAAAAATCGTTGAGCCGTTTTGGCGGAAGTGACGAACTGCAAGCTTTGAATGCTTATATCTTCTAAATGCTTATAGATAACCTTAAGACTAACATATTGATACTAACACCCAAAAAACTTTAATTTTGATTTCATGGGTACTTTAAGTACTGTAACGAAGTATTATTACTCTGTTACGTTACACCACTGATCTTTTGTGTTCAATGGCTGAAAAATTCATACAGGAACAGCTTGAGGATATGTGAATGACAATTTTAATTTTTTTCTAAACATGGTGGCTAACACTAGCATATGCATCATGCACAATGACAAATACATATTTGAAATATGACATGACAGCAGTGTTGGGGAGTAACTAGTTACATGTAACGGAATTACGTAATTTACAAAATAAATTTAACTAATCAGTTACAGCTACTGCGAAAAAATGTGTAATTAAATTAGTTACTTTTGAAAATGTTAAAGATTACAAAGTGGTTAATCAGAATTTTTTTCACACACCTCCACATACAGATTTAATTAATTTCTTTCACAAATTGCATTGACTGCTCTACAATATGAGACACCAATGTTTCAGGAGTTTAGGACACAGAATAGGACACGTTTATATGATAACTGTTTTATTTCTAATTTGAGTTTATGTATATGCTTTATTTTTTAAAGATTAACTGTTAGATGCCTGTGTTTCCTGTCATGAAAAGATCTGATTTCAAAAACAGCATCATAGCTATTAAACTATTTCTTGTTATGGTTTTAAATTTGTATTTAACCTCAGAACGATCTCAAAGTAAAAAGAGGTGCTAAAGTCTGATTTTGTGGTGGCTGTGCTTTCAAAATAAATTATTATAATCGAAATTCAAGTGATGAAGGATTCTGAAAGTCTGACAGTAATCATGCAGCGTTGAGTGCTACTGTAATGTTAACCCTGCCTGGTTTAAATGTTTGAAAATGATTATCAGTTAAAAACATCCGTTAGAAATTTAGAAAAGTAATCAAATGTAATCAGTTACATTACTTTAATAAAGTAATTGAAATAGTTACACTACTTATTACATTTTAAATAGGGTAACTTGTAATCTGTAACCAAAGTAACCTTCCCAACACTGACTGTACCTGATGTAATCCAAAATAATAGAATTGCAAGCTTGTGAATCAAAATGTAATCGAATTGTGAAATTTGTGTCAATACTCAGCCCTAATATATGTTGTGCAAAAAACCTTTATTAACCTCTATTATAAGTGAACCTCAAGGAATATATTAAAATAATAAAAACAACTTCATCAGATATGAGACAAATTCAATTTCTGCAGCTCTAAAAGACAAATGAGTCATTATTCAGTTTGAGTCAATTCAGTGTTGATTCAGTTCAGTAGTGTAAATTCATTCGGTTCAGCCATTAGCAGCTGTACTGAAGACAATCGTGTCGTTATTCAGCTCCAGTCAGTTCAGTGTTAATTCGATTCAGTTCAATAACTGTGTCAAGCAAAATGCGTCAACTGTGAACGAATTTGATTCAGCTATAAAAAGCTCTACAGAAGACAAAACTCGTCATTCAGTTCAGTTCAGTTCCCCCAAAAATCATTTCCAGATTTCGGCTAACTTCAGCCAATGATTTTTTTCCAGCTGTTTTGTCCTCAGACGGATATGTAGGTCAGAAACGCACGCTTGAAAGGGGGAGACTTCTCGTCTGGCTCTGCTAATACAACTGAAGTATTCAACAGTCGCGTCATTTGCCAGGTGCTCGTGATTTTAGTGTGCCACTTGACTGTTCTTAGGATTTCACACATACCTGACTCACGTATGCTATTAGATAAGAGTCTGGGCTCCAGAATAAGGGTCAAGCAGAAAACGGCACCAAATATAACAAAAGAAAAATGCATCTGAACTAAAAGAGAGGTACATGCTTATTTTTTTCCATTACTGCAGGTCTTTTCCTGTCACGAACGTATCGACTGACCGACACACACACAGGCCTTGCTAACTAGTAATTGAGTCTAAATGAAACGTTTATTTAACAGGTAAATCATGTTTTTGAATCGTTCTATGAAATGGGTGACTTTTCTATTATGTAAAGTTGAAAAAAATGTTCATAATTGACAGGGTGGAATATGATTTAGATATGTTGTATTTGGCTAATCTTGTCCAACGTGACAAATAAAAGACCGATGTCAAATGTTAGTAGAACAAGCTTTTGAAATGAGTTTTTCTGACGTCAAAAAAATCGTTGAGCCGTTTTGGCGGAAGTGACGAACTGCAAGCTTTGAATGCTTATATCTTCTAAATGCTTATAGATAACCTTAAGACTAACATATTGATACTAACACCCAAAAAACTTTAATTTTGATTTCATGGGTACTTTAAGTACTGTAACGAAGTATTATTACTCTGTTACGTTACACCACTGATCTTTTGTGTTCAATGGCTGAAAAATTCATACAGGAACAGCTTGAGGATATGTGAATGACAATTTTAATTTTTTTCTAAACATGGTGGCTAACACTAGCATATGCATCATGCACAATGACAAATACATATTTGAAATATGACATGACAGCAGTGTTGGGGAGTAACTAGTTACATGTAACGGAATTACGTAATTTACAAAATAAATTTAACTAATCAGTTACAGCTACTGCGAAAAAATGTGTAATTAAATTAGTTACTTTTGAAAATGTTAAAGATTACAAAGGGGTTACATCTGAATTTTTTCACACACCCCCACATACAGATTTAATTAATTTCTTTCCCAAATTGCATTGACTGCTCTAAAATATGAGACACCAATGTTTCAGGAGTTTAGGATACAGAACAGGACACATGCTTATTTGATAACTGTTTTATTTCCAATTTGGGTTTATGTATATGCTTTATTTTTTTAAGATTAAATGTTAGATGCCTGTGTTTCCTGTCATGCAAAGATTTGATTTCAAAAACAGCATCATAGCTATTAAACTATTTCTTGTTATGGTTTTAAATTTGTATTTAACCTCAGAACGATCTCAAAGTAAAAAGAGGTGCTAAAGTCTGATTTTGTGGTGGCTGTGCTTTCAAAATAAATTATTATAATCGAAATTCAAGTGATGAAGGATTCTGAAAGTCTGACAGTAATCATGCAGCGTTGAGTGCTACTGTAATGTTAACCCTGCCTGGTTTAAATGTTTGAAAATGATCATCAGTTAAAAACATTTGCTAGAAATTTAGAAAAGTAATCAAAAAGTAATCAACTTTAATAAAGTAATTGAAATAATTACACTACTTATTACATTTTAAATAGGGTAACTTGTAATCTCTAACCTACTACATTTCAAAAGTAACCTTCCCAACACTGCATGACAGATGTGCCTCTGCCAAAGCTGATATATATATTATTTTTTTTGGGATAATACATTTAAGCAATTATTTTGTCAACATTGTCAGATCTCAAAAAAAGTTCTATTTGAAATGGCAAACCAGAATTTAAAGGACCCGTACTAACCCTTACTGTGGTCTGACCGAGCCGTCCAGACTGGAAGCCCTTGAGGAGATCCTGGACGCCGCTGATGGCCTTGGGGATCTCGGCAGGGGTTGGAGGCACCAGCTCCACACGGGCGTAATACCAGAATGTGGCTAGCCGGGGCTTGGAGTAGTTCACAGCGGCTGCATATATCATTACAAACGTTAATGGAATCACGGAAAACATACAAAAGATATAACTAACGTTTAAATTTGTAAAGGAAACTTCACAAAGCCAAGGCCATAGGAACAACTTAAATGTTTGAGCTGAATGTATCTTCACACGCTGACATTGGGCGACTGTTGTGCTCTGTCAACTTCAGCATATAACCACTGCTGTAGTGCGCGTTCAGAATGAATTGTGACAGCTATAAACGGAGTAAAGCACCAGAGCATTAGCTAACACAACTGTTGGTCATTTGCTTGCACGAAAATCAGCATGTTACCACAATTACTGTCTGTATAGTAACGGTTTAATTTATCTAATGCATGTTTTGCTCATTTACGTTACGCGGCCTGTTCTAACAGCTGCGGAAACCAGAAGCACACAACTCAAAATAAATATTTTTGAAGGAATAAATCTATAGTTTAAGTAAAAGGTGATAATTCTTACCACCGACCAACGTTGGCACTTTAGCCACAAGTTTCTGTACCGCCTGGGCCATGATTTCTGTGACTGTGAAGGTTTATTCGCCGCTTCTCTTCACAAACCGGCCCTTCAATGAATGTCACCTCCAGCGAAGAACCCTTCTTCTTCTTCTTCTGGTGTTTTATGGCGGTTTGGCAAACCAGCGAAAAAGGTGCATTACCGCCACCTACTGATCTGGAGTGTGGAGTGTGCATAAATTTGGAAGAAAGAAATACAGAAGGGAGAAGAAAGAAAGGAAAAAAATAAATAAATAAACCCTAGATTCTATCTATTGTTCCTGTGTTTTTCAGGTATTTAAACATATTTTCTTGCACTCTTGATTGCCTCGACCCATTTCCTAACAATACTTTTAAAGAGATCCCTGTTATTACTCCTTTCACCCATTTCTTTTCTTCTTGTACTGAACAAATCACACTTTGTCCCATGATCGACTTAACTCCTAGAGCCTTCTTTTGTTGCCTACTATCCTTACAATATATTATCAATCTACCATCCCTCAACTTCTTAACACTATCAATCAGTCCTATCACTTCCTTAATTGTTTTAGATAATTTCAGCGGATTAATGATACTGAAAGATCCGGTTTCAAGTTTCATCACTACCTTATACTCTTCCTTCCTTCTTCTTGTCAGATGTGTTCCATTTTCACTGTCAGTTGCAGATGCGTTACTCCAGCTTTTCTTTCTTTTTCGATTTTCTACTATACTCCATTCATTATTTCCATTCCCGCCTTCGTCCGCGTCAAACACTTCATCCTCCATTTCCGGATCACTTCCGGAATCTACGCCACTTCCTACCATGCACTCTCCAGTCACAGATCAACTGTTGCCAAACCGCCCCTCCCCCCGTGTCTCGAAGGACCCTTCGATTGAGGCGGCGGATTATACGCCTGACAGAAATTTCGAGGATGTCGTAAAAATATAGCCTCTATATTGGCACCGTGTTATAACGTTGAACAAAAATGCTGTTTATACAAATAAAAACTGATTTTTTCCTAATTTTTTTCCCTAAAAATTAAATACCGTATTAAATACTTTTCATATAAATAAGGACGGCATAACACGACCGGCTAAGCACATTTCATTACACCAAATACACAAAATAATGTTCTTTTTAGCAGCATCATATGACCCCTTTAATGCCAAAGGGCTATACAATTTTCATGTTTAGTGTAAATAGTGTAATTATTTATTAATTATTTATTATTAAATAATGACAACAATAGCACACAAATATATTTTCCTGAAATATCATTCATGATGAATCAGAGACATTTATTTACCACACATTGTTTTTCATTTATTTTATTTATTTATTTTTATTTGGGAGGGGGATATCTGACCCCATTTAAATGATGCATTTAGGATCAAAATGCCACAATGCTGAAATGGTATTTATAGGTCAAAACACATGGTGAACACATCTTAAAATACATAAAAATATTTCTCAGATAGACAGAAATTAACATTGTTAATGCCATCCTGCTATGCATACTGTATTTTGACATCCAGTAACATATCTTAAACATTTACTGTATTCACAGCACTCTGAATGATTCTGAATATGTGCAAAGGATGGTGCCCAAGGTTTAGGCAATTTCATACAGAAAAACTGCAAAGTGCAAAATGTATAGGTCAGAGAAATTAGCTACCCATTGAAACTCTGTTTAAACATCATTCTCCAAGCACTGATCTCATTGACACGATCAGAAATGTTTAATGGCCATCCACACTATAACTAGGTGGACTAAGTGCTGTCATCAGACAAGTCAACAGTCTTCAGTGCTGGTGGTTCAGCAGCACTTGAAACATTTTCCTCCACCTGTAACAAATACATGAACTTATATAAATAAAGTGCATGTGATGAATAATGTTTTTGCTTATGAGTTGTGAAAACATTTGTGTGAGTGGTTTAATCGCACTTAATGCAATTAATCAGTACTAGGAAAGATATATGTTATTGCATACCTCAGAGATAGGTGCTAGTTTGTTCACAGTGATTGGCTTCCCATTTTTCTTCTCTCCAAGCACTGATCTCATTGACACGATCAGAAATGTTTAATGGCCATCCACACTATAACTAGGTGGACTAAGTGCTGTCATCAGACAAGTCAACAGTCTTCAGTGCTGGTGGTTCAGCAGCACTTGAAACATTTTCCTCCACCTGTAACAAATACATGAACTTATATAAATAAAGTGCATGTGATGAATAATGTTTTTGCTTATGAGTTGTGAAAACATTTGTGTGAGTGGTTTAATCGCACTTAATGCAATTAATCAGTACTAGGAAAGATATATGTTATTGCATACCTCAGAGATAGGTGCTAGTTTGTTCACAGTGATTGGCTTCCCATTTTTCTTCAGCCAGTCATAACCTTTCTGATCTACTACTAGTAAAGAAAGAGTGCCTCCTCCTCTCTTCACATGTAAGATGACATCCTCGACAGACTCTTTCTCCACATTCTGTCCATTCACTTCCACCACCACATCACACTGAAGGAGCCCTGACATCTCTCCTGGGCCTCCTGCTGCTACCTAAAAATGCAAAGTAATATACACTGTCATAACAAAAGAAAAGTTTGTTATTCATATTTACTTTAAATTATGTATATTTTACTTATAGTGTATCAAAGCATTATCAATAGTGTTCTATAATTTCTAACAGATGACACCCTGAATATTAGGCTATATACAGTTCACTATGTGGCCTAAGGCTGATTTTCCAAGCGTATAGTTCTGTGAAGAATCCCCACCAATGAGTGAGTCTGGAACATTTCTATTCAGTCCTAACCTCTGAAGTCAGTATCGTCTAAAGACTGATTTGGCAGTGAATGGGCTTCATTGTACCTGGCTGATGAAGGTGCCAGGTTTCTGTTGGACGCAGCCCAAATGGAAGCCAAAACCGGCAGAGCCCCTCTCCAGAATACAGCGTCTAATATTAGGATTGATCTGCACATCCTCCTGAGGCTCAACGGGGGGCAATGCAGGCTTCGGTGTCACTGGGATTTCCTTTTGCTCCTCAGGGTTACCAGATGTAACATCCACACAGAACAGCAAGGGAGAGAGGCCCAACTGAGGATAAATAATATTTGACGTTTAACAGACAAGTAGACAAACAGGCATAAGGAAAAGGATGAAAATGTGTTGATAAATTCTTCCTTTTATTGAATTATAATTGTTTAATTGTGATTTTTCAGATAGGGGAACTTAAAAATAAATAAATATCAGTTTAATTAGTATAGGATAGATTTTATTATCTTTAAAAGTTTCATAGTATCATAAGTTCAAATTATAAGGGATTTGTAATCATTTTTAAATAAAAAATATTTTCATTGAGTATTTATTTGTATATAATTTTAGTTTTTCTATAACAAAGAACTGCTGTCACCAATACTGCTGTCGTGAACATACTGTAACACCAAGCATCTTAAAGAACAATTTTGTTTTTATAAAATAAAATAAAATATTTGGTTATGATGGAAATGAGAAGTAACACATGTACATGTATCTATATGCACATATCTACATTTCATATTTGTTTTTTAAAGTGTCATTACCAAATGCGTTAGAATTTGAGAACTTTTTTCTTTTCAAAGGAAAGTTGCATTGACTGCTAAGTTTTCTCCAAAAGCAGAAACATGTAGTTACCATCACACTCAATATCACATATCACCACACACTATATTAATATCCACTTTGGTTGATCAAGTCCATAATCAGATCTTTATTCCAGTGACAGTTTTTTTCTTGCCATTTGAGAAATGAATTTCAAGAAGTGCCCTTAACTGAAGAACCATTCCCATATTAGTATTTATGTGCTCACTCTGTATATTCACCTTAGTGTAGAAGTCCTGGTCCTGAGGTGGCATAGTCGTGAGGGTGACCTGCTGTCCACTCTGTCTGATTTTGCTGACAACTTGATTATGACTCAGTGACTCTGTGGACTCTCCATTCACTTCAAGAAGCATCTCACCTTCCTTAACACTTCCCAGTTCAGCAGGGCTGCCCTTATCCACCTCTCTCAACATGTGGACTGTATAAACCAAACATAAATATACAGTCTGCAATTCATTTGTGTGGCTGTATGCCAAAGTATGAGTGCATGTCAAAGTGTGTGTCTGCCTCTCACCACTGCGTCGCGTTCCAGTCTTTTCCTGCCTGAGCAGGAAGCCGTACCCTTCTGGCCCCAGCACCAGATGCAGTCTGCGAGGCCGATATGGCATGTTCTCTGCATCAGCCATGGCTGGGACAATAGGCATTTTCCTACGGGCATAACTCTTCTCACTGTCGCTGTCAATCACCAGCATTGTCATGTGATTGTTGCACTTCTTCACCTGGAAATAGCATCACTTGAGATGAAAGTACACCATAACACCATGAAAGATCTAAATGCTACTCATGACATGAGTTTGTCACAGCAGACTGTTAATTAGTTAATTGTGAGTGAAAAACTGTAAATGATTTAACATTGCATTATGTAATTTTACTGTAAAATAATGTAAAATGTAGTAAAAGGACACTCCCAGAGGTCACTGCATGACACAACACATGATGATTATTTAATTATGTTTTAATTTTGTTTATTTTTGTAAACAGTAACATACATTATGGTATTTTTTGTTACATTTTCTTTTATTTAGGTAATGTTTATTGTACATTTACATTTAGTCATCTACTAAGCGACATCAAAATCAACAAAAGAGCAATGATATGCAAGTGCTATAACAAGTCTCAGTTAGCTTAATGCAGTACACGTAGCAAGGTTTTTTTTATTATATAATAAATAAAAAAACAGAATAGAAAAAGAATAGAGCAAGCTAGTGTTAGAGGCCTTTTTTGCTTTTGTTAATTGTATAATAAATAAAAAGAAAACAAATAGATAGAATATAAAAATAATAGAGAAGCTAGTGTTAGTTTTTTTTAAGAAAACAAGCAGTTAGTAAATAAATAGAGTGCAAGTCTAAAAGGGGCAAGTTTTTTTATTCAATTTTTTTATAAAGAATAGAATTAGAATAGAGAGTTAGATAGAGTTAGAGGGTCAAATAAAGATGGAAGAGATGTGTTTTTAGCCGATTCTTGAAGATGGCTAAGGACTCAGTTGCTCGGATTCAGTTGGGCAGGTCATTCCACGGAGGGAACATTTAATTTAAAAGTCAGTGAAAGTGATTTTGTGCCTCTTTGGGATGGCACAATAAAGCAATGTTCACTTGCAGAACTCAAGCTTCTAGAGGGCACATAAATCATTCTGAAGTAATGAATTTAGGTAAAGGGGTGCAGAGTCAGTGGTGTTTAGATGTTGCAACTTGGACACCTCACCTCTCCAAGATACCTTGAAGGATCTATCTGAGAGGTAAGACTCATACCACTGGAGTGCGGTTCCTAAGATGCCCTTTGTCAATAGGGTTGACAGGAGGATCTGGTGGTTAACCGTGTCAAAAGCAGCGGACAGATCCAGCAAGATAAGTATTGAAGATTTGGAATCCGCTCTTGAAAGTCTTAGGGCTTCAAAAACGGAGAGCAAGGCAGTCTCGGTTGAATGTCCACTTCTGAAACCAGACTAGTATTGTAGTATAGTATTGTAGTGCTGTCAAACGATTAATCATGATTAACTGCATCCAAAATAAAAGTTTTTGTTTACATGAGTGTGTACTGTGTTATTATGTATATATAAATACAAACACATACAGTATATATTTTGAAAATATTTACATGTATTTATATATTCATATTAATTATATTATATATAAATATATTTAATATATAAACATAACATATTTTCTTAAATATA